ACAGGAGAGTGCACACTATCATAACTCTCACAGGCTGGGTTCTAGCTCAATGACAGAATGCTTGTGAAGTATTCAGAAGGCCATGGGTTTGATCCCTACCACCTCAAGGGTGTATGTGTGTGTGTGGAAAAGGAGTTCTTTTCAGTCTGATTTACAGAACAAAGTAATCCCTATCAAAATCTGAGCTACTGTTTGACATAGATTTGACAAGGTGATCCCAAAATGAGAATGCTAATTAAAGGGACTCAGACTGCTAATGCAGGCTTGAAGAACAAAGTCGGAGAACTTATACTTTCCAGTTTCAAAACTTACTTCAAAGGTTCGGTAATCAAGACTGGTATTGAAACATAGATTTGGAGATCAACAGAACAGAAGTTAAGAGTTGAGAAATAAACTTATCTAAGTCAAATAACTTTCAATAGAACAACAAGATTCCACTTCCACGGGGGAAAGAATATACTTTTCAGTGAATGCCAGGACAACTGGTCAGCTGCATGCAAAAAGATAAACCTGAATCTCTTCCTCACACTAAGAAATAATAGAAAAACTAGAAATCATCAAAATAATGTTGTGTGTATTTCAAAAGCCACCATGATGAAATTGACTAGTGGAGCTGAACATGCAGTTCAACAGTGTGCTTGCATGGTATGCGAGGCCCTGGGTTCACGCACATAACATACACACACACACACACACACACACACACACACACACACATGGAGTTGGGGGTCTGAACCCCAGAACTCAGCACAAGGGAGACAAGGGAGGTAGGGGATCGTGAGTTCAAGGTCAGCGTGGGCTATACACAGTGAAACCTTTTCTCTAAGAAACAAAACGGGAAAAGAGAAATCGAGAGAGGAAGAACAAACACAAAATAGAAGAAAATGTTTGCCAATTTTATATCTAGTAAGGATATTGTACCTAGAATACCCAGACTTCTCACAATGCAATAACAAGAAAAAAAAATATTCAATGAAAAACCAGTTACTCAAGATCATTAGCCATCGGGAAGTACAAATCAAAGGTATAGATACATAGACAAGCATTGGTAAGGACATGCTCAAGTTGACTCCTTCATACACTACTGGTGGGAATACATGTGGCTGCTTTGAAAAAGTCTAATTTATAAAAGGAGGAAATTCCGAGCTTGGGTGACCTGTAGGCATCCTCCTCGAACTTCCAGCAACACCGGCGGTATAGCTTGGGACACTAGACTAGGGAATGCCCAATAACAGGAATTATTTTATATAGAAATCTTGTGAAACCATTGCACAAATCAAGTGGTGATCATACAGAGAGTGGTGTTAAATTCTCAACCTGGGAAAAATGGAAACCCAGTGGCAGAGAATTTCAGAGTAGAAGAATTCAGTTTACTGGATACTATCAATGAAGGACAAGTTCAAGTGAGAACTCTTTATCTCTCTGTGGATCCTTACATGGTTGTAAGATGAATGAAGACACTGGCACTGACTATCTGGCACCGTGGCAGCTGCTGCAGGCGGTTGATGGAGGAGGAATTGGAGTTACAGAGGAGAGCAAGCACCAGAAGTTGGGTAAAGGCGATTTTGTGACTTCCTTTTACTGGCCCTGGCAAACTAAAGCAATTCTAGACGGGAATGGCCTTGAAAAGGGAGACCCACAACCCGTGGATGGACATCTTTCATATTTTCTTGGAGATATAGGCATGCCTGGCTTGACTTCCTTGATTGAGGTACAGGAAAAAGGTCATATATCTGCTGGATCTAATTAGACAATGGTTATCAGTGGAGCAGCAGGTGCATGTGGATCTTTGGCTGGGGAGGTAACAGTCCATCACTGAGGGAAGTCTGGGCAGGAACTTAAATAGTATAAACCCAGAGACAAGACCTGATGCAGAGATGGAGGAGTACTAATGTACTGGCTTTTTCATAGAATCCAGGACGATCAGCCCAGTGATGGTACCACCCACAATAGGTGGGGCCCTCCCACTTCAAACACCAATTAAGAAAATGCCCTTATCGGCCTCCCTACACTTACATTTTATGGAGGCATTTTCTCAATTGAAGTTCCCTCCTCTCAGATGTTGTGTCAAGCTGACAAAGAAATTAGCCAGGACAAGTACTCTCTTCTACTTGCAATATCTTGTATACTTGAGATTTTTATGTCTGTGTGAATATAAAGTCATTTAATTTTCAAAAATTTCCTCCCTAGATTGGCCACCTGCTTGGCTGTTTCAGAGTGGTGGGAATTTTTGGAATGCATGAGAAATGTCTCTTTTTGACCTCAGAGCTGGGGTTTGATGCTGCAGTTAATTATAAAACAGGGAGTGTGGCAGATCAGCTGTGAGAAGCATGCCCGGATGGAGTGGATGTTTACTTTAACAATGTTGGAGGCGACATCACCAATGTAGTGACAAGTCAGGTAATCTGCTGATTTGTCTCCATACAAAACTCAGTATATTATGTAATATAAAATAATATTTATCTGTTGTGATCTACTTTTGCTTGGTACTGAGGGGGGAGCTATAAAATTACACGGCTCATTTTGAAAGATGGCATTATCATTACTGTATTTAAGTTATATTAAAGATCTTATTGATTCCTTCATTTGATTGCACATTTGTATTCTGAATTTCAGTTCCTGTCTAGCAATATAATACTTTTACCTTCAATTTACTTTTGTGAAAAATTAAGAGCTGCATTCTTGAAATGGGAGACCCTTACCTATAACTCAGCATCTATCAATCACCTTGTAGCCATAACCCTGAGTTGAGTAGGGAGATTGTTTTTATAGGTTATAGGTGTTATGTATTTCTTATTGACAATGTAGTAAAATATCAACAGTTAAAAAAAAAGAAAAAGTCTAATTCTTCCTCAAGATAATGGATATGTTATCATATGACCCATATGTTCTAGGAAACACACATCAAAAGAAATCAAAATATCTACCCTATTCATGAACACTACCCCTAAATTTATTCATGATACTACACTATCCATAACAGCATAAAGTAGAAACCACCCAAAAATCCATCAACATCTAAGTAAATATAGTACATATCCATTCACTTGAACTTGAACCATAATTATCAATAAAAAATGAGTGAACTTTGAAAAAACTAAGTGAAGCCAGTCAGAAAGGACCATCTAATATTTGATAACATTTGTATGAAACGTCCAGAATAGGTAAGTATACATAGACAGAAAGTAGGCAACTGGGTTTGTCAAGGTGAAAGCCACTAAATGTGAGGGCGTGATTGCTTAAAAGGACTTTTCTTTAGAGTAATTAACATGATCTAAAATGTCTATGGTGAAGTCACACAATCCATGAGCAATGGAAGCTTTAGAATTACACCCATTTAAGTCAGTGAGTTGTAATTCATGTAAACCATCTTAATAAAGCTATTTTGTAAAAAATAAATAAATAAATAAATAAATAAATAAATAAATAAATAAATAAATGGGACTAAGTAAACTATGAAAACATTTTAATTTTCCCTTTGTGCTACACCTAGTTAGTTTTCCCAGTGAGCCTAGAGATGAACACTGCTCTCCTTCCCTTCTACCTCAAAGGACAAGGAAAAGAGTACAAAAGCAGCAATCAGAAATCAAAGTCCAAGTCCTGTCAACAACTGTGAGAGGTAAGGCTCAATGTTGAACCACTAAACTGCTATTTCCTGCCTGTGAAAGATACAGGTAATAACCCCCCATCAGTTAACAAGGTTAATATGAAACTCATATAACTGTCTCCATGCCCACACACAGGCCTATGCAGTACATTTACCAGCAGGCTTTCCCACCTACATGTTGGCACAGTCTGTCTTTCCATCACTAGTTTATGTACCTTTCTTCTTAGGCTTAAGATTCATAAAACTTGACTCCAATCCTCCTAACATCTAGACAGAAAAGCAAGAACAACAATACCCAGTCTAGAGAATCAGTGCGATGGCCTGGTCATGAAAACACCCAGCTTGGCTTAACAATCCAACTATTATATGCTCTTTCCAGACAGTAGAGATAAGTGCAAGATTCTGTTCATTCAAACAATGTGCTGTGAACAGGTAAAAATAACAACTCAGAAGTCAGAAGACAACAATGCTAGTTTCAGGCCCCTGACCCTCATCCCAAGAAGGATCCACCTGTCCTATTTACCCTTGTCTCAAAGTTCAGGTTCTAGTAGCACCATACCCCAGTCCAGCAATTCTAAGAATCAAGAAAGAGATGCACAAAAGAGCAGAGAGTACAAGTGCAGGAACACTAAACGTTACATGCCTATGAAGTAACCCAAGACTGTTCACAAGGCAAACTGAGAATCATCAGATTTGTGATTCTGAACATACAGGTGTAATTTGTCTTCTAAGAAACATCTGTAAAATCAGTCATTCAATGTTATCAAGTGCTACACACAAATGATAAAATTCACCATCAATACAAAATCTTAAAGACTTTAAAAAAGCAGCAACAGAAAATCCTTGATTTTAAAAAAAAAAAAACTACCTCAAACCAAAACTTAACACTCATAGCAAAGTATGTCTTTTAGCTACAAAAAAGGAGTTTTTCTAAGAATTACTGGTACCAGTTCAGAGATATAAACATTCACACAAAAATCAGTAACGTAGGCTGGGTGGAGAGTAACGTGACTCTGCTGACAGGAGGCTTCCGCAGCGTGCACAGGCCCATGAGTTCCCTCCCAGAGGCACATAGACCAGGTACAGCAGTACAAACCTACAATCCCAGTGGTCCAAAGAAAGAGACAGAAGAATTAGACTTAAGGTCATCCTTGGCTACACAATGAGTTTTCGGTTAGCCAGAGTTAAAGATAAAAACAAAAATAAAAATCAGTAATAAATTCTTCTGTAAAATATATATACATGAATGTTATTGGCAATGTACAGCAAGAAAACAAACAGATATACGATGTCAAAGTGAATTAAGAATTTTCAATAAAAATGTTAATATACTTTGGAATATACTTTACTGAAATATAATAAAGTATGCTCTCAAGGTAAAACACATATCAACCCTGCTCCTACAGGCGTTGAAGGTGTGGCTGCTGTGTCACATGCACACCAGTAGGTGACAGAGAAGAAAGTGGCTATGTCTCTCTTCAGTGTTCTGACCTATGGACATCTGAGTGATTAGCAGCCTAACATTCCCTGAAAAATGCAAGCCTGAAACAACCTCCAGTCCAGTGCCATGTAGGCCTGGACAGGCTCCCAGAATGGGAAGCAAACCAGAGACTAGAGGAACCCTGCCTGGGACTGTGGGCCCCTGGCCAGAGTGAGTTAAAACAGATGACTATCACAAGGAGTAACTCAGGGAGGGCTGGGCAAGGAGTGAGCCCTAGATGACTACCAGACAGGTACCATGGGGCCCAAACAGGGAGCTAGCCTGAGATGACCACCAATCTGGGACTGCTCAGGCCTGGAGGGCAGAACATGCCTCAGATGACCCCTGCCAATGCCATAATGCACTAGGGGGAGTAGCACTCCTGAGACCGCTCCTGAGATGACCCTAGACACTCAAAGATCCTGGGCAACACAAAGAGGAACAAGTAAGTGATGGAGAAATAGAAAAGACAGAGAAACAGAAGGATATAGGCACAATGAAGGGAGGCAGAAATGGAGACTCCAGGGTAATGAGAAACAGCCTGATGTGAGTAGCCAGTGATGCCACTTGAGACCATGGTAGGATTCTAGCCTGTGCTGCCACTGGGGGCCACATCTAGGTCAGTGACCCTGCAGCCGCAGGAGTCTGTAACCATCAAAGGCCAGGCTGACATCCATGGTCTGGACTGCCATCCAGGTACATATTGATGTCCAAGGGCTGTCAGAACTGGGCATCTTAGGAGAGCTGGCCTTGGAGGCAGAAGAGCAGGAGAGTCAACCCTATCTATCCCCAGCCAGCTACAGTACTCAGGAGAGCAGCCTGCACACCTCGAGGGTTGCCGGTGAGCCTGCCTGAGGATGAGTGTGGGAGAATTAGTCCTACCACTCCTCTCTAGTGCAGTAGCATGGATGAGGAAAAGATACTCTCCTCATCTCTTGACCCTTACCACCTGCTGCAGGCAGGAGTTCCATCCCTAGAGTCATGAGAGTACAGCTGGCTCTGTCACTCACCAGCTGCAGCACTTGGGAGAGCAGGCCTTGCACCTTGTCTGGGCAGCATAATTGAGCTGACCTTGGCGACAGGGGTACAGGAGAGCTGGCCCCAAGCATGTGAGCATGAGAGAGCTAGCTTTGCAACTTGTCTGCCTTGTGATGTCATGGGTAAGGGAGAGATACACCCCTTCACCACCTATGGCAGGCAGGAGAGCTGGCCCCGAGATCATCATAGTGGAAGAGCAGGCCCTGCACCTCACCTAGGCAGCACAGCAGAGCTGGCCCTGGATGTGAGGGTTGTGTGTGAGCTGGCCCCATGGGCATGAGTGTGGGAAAGCAAGCCCTGCCTCTTATCTGCTGTGTGAAGGAGGCAGTGAAGGAAAGACCCCTTCCTCTATTTTTTTGCAGAAGGCCAGAGAGTTGGCCCTGATGGGGAGCAGGAGACCTGGGCCAGCTCCATACCTGCTGCAGCACTTGGGTCAGAAGGCCCTGAACCTCCCCTAGGGAGCACAGTAGAGCTGACCCTGAGGCAGGGGCATATGTAAGCCGGCCCCAAAGGTGTGAGCATGGAAGAGCTGGCCCCAAAATCTGTCTGCCATATGACAGCATGTCAAGGGAGAGATGCCTTCTGTGATGGTTTGTATATGCTAGGCCCAGGGAGTGGCCCTAGTAGAGCGTGTGGCCCTGTTAGTTAGGTGTGGCCTTGTTGGAGTAGGTTTGTCACTGCACTGTGGGTGTAGGCTTTAAGATCTTCATCCTAGCTCCCTGGAAGCCAGTATTCTGCTAGCAGCCTTCAGATGAGGATGTAAAACTCTTAGCTCCTGCCCCACATCTGCCTGGATGCTGCCATGTTTCTGTCTTAATGATAATGGATTGAACCTCTGAACCTGTAAGCCAGCCCCAATTAAATGTTGTCCATATAAGAGTTGCCTTGGTTATAGTATCTGTTCACAGCAGTAAAACCCTAAGACACCCTCCCTGGACCTTAACCCCCTGCCACCTGTGGCAGGTGGGAGAACTGCCCCAGGGGTCATGAGAACAGGAGAGCTAGCCCTGCCTTTCACCTGCTGCAGCACTTAGGTGAACAAGCCCTATACCTCACCTGGGCAGCAGGGTAGAGCTGGCTCTGGTTTCGGGGTTGCTGCTGAGCTGGCCCCAAGGGTGTAAGAGCAGGGAAGCCAGTGGGCTGACCAGCTCAGATACTTCTCAAGCCCAGATCCAGGTCTTTGAATTGGCCCACCCTAACATCTAACCCACTGATGAACTGCTGGAGTGCATGAAAGGGCCAGTCCTGCAGATCCAAAGCTGCAGGATCTCCATGACACAGGGCAACAACAGGATATCTGAGAGGAGTCTCAATGAAGTTCCTGTGTCAATGGAGTAGCAGAAGCCAGAAGCCTTGTACTAGACCAACAAATCACTGCATTGAACACTTGCAAGCAAAGAAGTGTGGACAAAAGGCAATTCTATAGGACACACTGTGACACACTACAGTTTCCACAAAGAGATTTTTTTTCTCTGTTGTAAGGGTAGAGCAGGTACACAGGGAGGACATGAGTGGGATTGGGGTACATGATGTGAACATTACGAGGGACCCAAAAAAAAAAGTAAAAACAAAAACCATATTTAATGTAACTCAAAGTCTAGGACAAACTTCACATGGAAAAATGATCATAAAATCATACATAAAAAACAAGACAAACTAGATAAAAATGTTGGGAAAGGAGCAATAAGAAGATGGAGTCTATTAAACACTTAAATATTACAAGATAATTATTAGAAAACAGCAAGGAACATGAACAAGATTTTTAAAAGCTCAGAGACCGAACTATACTGAAGATTAATAGCTTGATAATTCAGTGGGCAATTTTTTTAAATAAATGCTTATACATTTTACTCATCAAAATAACTTCTAATATGGGTTGGTGAGATACAAATGAATTTATTAAAGAACTCAACTGAAGAATGCCATTCTAAAACTAGAATTTACATATTTTTAAAAAATCATAAAGGTTTATTGATTTGACTTTATACTCAAAATAAATACATGAATGAGGAAACAAAGGACTGGAAAACATGTGTTACATGGGACAGAAATATTGTACACATATTAATAGAAAGTCTTTTCTTCCTTCCTATCTTTTGAGACAAGGTTTTGTTAGAAGCCCTGATTGACCTGAAACTCACTATGAAGAACTGTTAGGCCTCAAACTTGCAGCAATTTTGTTTCTGTCTCAGGAGATCCTCTAATTGTAAGGTTGCACCACAATATCTAGCCAAATAAATTATTGAAAACAATAAAAGCCCTCACTGATAGATGGGCATGTTTCAGAGGAGATGCTTCATGCACAAGGACACAGCTGGTGAATTGAAGCACAGGCTATGATGTCAGAAGAACAAGGAGAGGAAAGAACTCATGCAATACCTGCACATATATGCACATACTACATATGTAAGATTTATTTATAAATGTTTAGCACAACCCATCAATGACCAATATGTTGGGCATGATTCATGTGCTCTAGTAGAAACACAGATCTAGAATGTCCACCACAGAAAAGCAAGCAACACAGTAAACAAGTGAACAATCACAGGAACACATTAGTGTATGAGAACATGAAAAAAGTCTACAGATTTTTAAGATTTTTTAAGCCAGTATTACTTATAACAAAGAAAAGTACCCCAAATTTCCCCCCCAAATTAAGTCAATTTAAATAAACTGTGATGCTAGTAAAACCAATAGAATACTATATAGTTATTATATGAAAGAGAATTACACATATATTAAACACAGATAATAAAAATTACAAAAAACAGTAACAGCCATGTAAATATACACACAGGGGAAATTTTCCAAATATAAATAGTTAAATGCACAAATATAAACAATTTCCATTGCCTCCACGATTTCAGAAATAAACTAGTTTTAAGGTTAAAATATATTCTTAGATAAGGATAAACTCTTGAGTTTTTGTACACAGGCTGGCAACAGAAAATAATCAGTGAGAACAAGGAACTACAGGTGTATGTTCTGTTAGAAATGCTTGTGGCAGCCTCTCAAAGCTCAAGACTCACTTCTACAGAAATAAAAGCCACACTCTCAGGATGAAGATGTTCACCAGTGTAGGATTTCTCTGTTTTAATTTTTTAGCCTTTCTTCTAATACTTTGAAAAGTGTTTCTCCTTAAAAACAGCAGTGTGCATCAAAGAAACAGTTTGCCTTTCTTCATAAGGCTATTACATCATCTGACTTTTATCCTCAAGGCCAATGATTATATAGACTGTGTTTTCTATTTTACACATAGAATAGTTTTACCATTATTCTCATGCCATACTATTTCCAAGAGAAGTCAGCCTGTGTACTTCTCACAAAAGCAACTATGACATGCCAGCAAGGAAACAGTGGCATTATAACAAGGCAGACAAGGGAAGGTTGGTACTTATTTGTCCACTGTTTATAAATCTGAGCATTTGACCAGTGCTTACAGAGCTATCTATTATTCACATGGATTTTTTTTCAGTATGTGTGTCCCTGGGCTATACTAGAAAATATGTCTGTGTCAGGAACCACAATCTTTTACAACCTAGAAAATAATAAACAAGAGCTACTAGTAAATGTATCTTCCTTTTAGTCATGATCATAAAGGAATACTCAAATATAGTACATAAGTCTGCCTTTCATCACAGGAAATCAGATCACTCTCTCAAGGGAAAGAAAACCCTAGATAGGTCCAATATGCCCTGTGTACTGGATGGTTCTGTGTGTCAACTTGACACAAGCTAGAGTCATCAGAAAGGAAGGAGTCTCAGTTGAGTCTCAATTGAGGAAATGCTTCCATGAGATCCATGAGTTCCAATAAATCCAAGGATTTATTGTGCACCCAGGTATTATAGATGGAGATTACAAGGAAGAAATTAAAATTATGGCACATGTAAAAAAAGAGATGCAAATTAGCACTGGAGACAGAACTGCTCAGTTTCCCTACATTAAGGACAAAGCTGCTCCAGGAGAAAGCACAGGAGGATTTGGGAGCACTGGAAAATGTGTTTCCT